ATTAAAGAAACTGTAGCAGATGTGTCGAACTTCCTCTTTAAAAACAATAATGACATGAATGACCATTATGTAAATTTAATTGATAACCATCCGGGTAGTTTTTAATTACTGCTATTTGTGATTAATCTATTAGTTTGTGAAGTGATCTTATTGTGAAAATATAGTTTAAACAAATAAACCGATGAGTTACAGTAGTAATAACTGTTATATGGTTACCACTGTAGCCGAACATTAATGTCTTTCAATCGGATCACGTTTGTTCTGGCATCATTCTTCTGGTTAAGGAAGTTAAGTGACTTACGTCAAACATTTAAACCAGTTCAGACTGTAAATTCGTGATGTTTAATTGAATTAACCACTAATACATAAAATGTCATCACACGAGGCTGATTAACATGAGTGACCTTCATATGGCTATATTAAATTGCAGCGTGCATAATGCCATATATTCAGTTGTTATTTCTCACAAGATTCTCGTTATCAAGTATAAATACTTTGCCCTATTAAGAAACATATCAGAATGATGTGGATTCCGGACTTGTTTTCCAAAAATATCAGTGCAGCAGTTAAGTGTTGATGAATCAATTCATCAAAGAAGCTGTCACTAAGTGGCAAACATTTAACAACAAGTAAATGATGAGAGCTTTATAACCGTATTTATTATTTCTTTAACCCCTGATCTGTGTCGTATTTAATAATGTCTTCAACCTTGAGATTTTGCTAACCAATAAGTTAATTGATATTAATGCCGTTTAGTGTATTATATGCTTCATTCTTGTTACTTGACTTCAAATATAAACACTACCATTCTGTTGTAGTAGAAACATTTTCATTTACTGAGGATGCAGTTGTATCCTCTTGTTAATTCCTAAAAAGGATGGAAGTCGTAGCCTGGATTTCACTGATAGCCGACATCATGACCAAAGTAGTGCCAAGGCTTTTTGTTGTGGGTTTTAATGAGTTCTTCAGACATTTATGATACTAGAAATGACATTTCTTTGCTCATTTTCAGTGTGTTTTCAAAATAGTGAACAGAGAATTAACTACCTCTATCTAATTGTATGGGTTAATACCTCTCATTGCGTGTCACGGAAAGGATTCCCAACAATTTACAGACTTTTACCAACAGCTGTTTCTTTCGCTGGCTGGCTCCATACCGGGAAATAAGTTGGGAAATGACTGTTGTTTACTTTGATTTTCATGTCTTTTGTTCTTTTCGCTAGCATTTCGTGTATTAAAGAAACTGTAGCAGATGTGTCGAACTTCCTCTTTAAAAACAATAATGACATGAATGACCATTATGTAAATTTAATTGATAACCATCCGGGTAGTTTTTAATTACTGCTATTTGTGATTAATCTATTAGTTTGTGAAGTGATCTTATTGTGAAAATATAGTTTAAACAAATAAACCGATGAGTTACAGTAGTAATAACTGTTATATGGTTACCACTGTAGCCGAACATTAATGTCTTTCAATCGGATCACGTTTGTTCTGGCATCATTCTTCTGGTTAAGGAAGTTAAGTGACTTACGTCAAACATTTAAACCAGTTCAGACTGTAAATTCGTGATGTTTAATTGAATTAACCACTGATACATAAAATGTCATCACACGAGGCTGATTAACATGAGTGACCTTCATATGGCTATATTAAATTGCAGCGTGCATAATGCCATATATTCAGTTGTTATTTCTCACAAGATTCTCGTTATCAAGTATAAATACTTTGCCCTATTAAGAAACATATCAGAATGATGTGGATTCCGGACTTGTTTTCCAAAAATATCAGTGCAGCAGTTAAGTGTTGATGAATCAATTCATCAAAGAAGCTGTCACTAAGTGGCAAACATTTAACAACAAGTAAATGATGAGAGCTTTATAACCGTATTTATTATTTCTTTAACCCCTGATCTGTGTCGTATTTAATAATGTCTTCAACCTTGAGATTTTGCTAACCAATAAGTTAATTGATATTAATGCCGTTTAGTGTATTATATGCTTCATTCTTGTTACTTGACTTCAAATATAAACACTACCATTCTGTTGTAGTAGAAACATTTTCATTTACTGAGGATGCAGTTGTATCCTCTTGTTAATTCCTAAAAAGGATGGAAGTCGTAGCCTGGATTTCACTGATAGCCGACATCATGACCAAAGTAGTGCCAAGGCTTTTTGTTGTGGGTTTTAATGAGTTCTTCAGACATTTATGATACTAGAAATGACATTTCTTTGCTCATTTGTACTATTTTTTGACTCTAGTTGTTACCAGGTTACATTAATATTCTAGAACTTTACCGACACATTCTATAATAAACTTGACTATGTTTCTCTGATGTAGAAGATACTAATGTACTAATTTATTTATTATGCGTGACCTTACATTGTTTAATACGCTTTGCTATGTTATCTTCAATATCAGTTAATCCTCATATTTCATATTGTTATGGAAAATTAATTTCAGCTACATGATTTGGCTCAAGACAGCTTTTTGCTTTACAATGGATCAATAACAGAGGTTACAATGATAACGTTTCAAATATTCGTTCATCAATGACTCTTCAACTAATGTCCGTTCAGGACAAAATCTACAATGAAATCTGTTAACACATTTTCTGAAGATAATTTTGTCTGCCACTTTATAACTTATCTTATTACTTCATAAATTAAAAATTGGTCCAAATGAAGAATGCCCTTTTCAATAAATTCTCTTTAGTTTCACACAATTATAAAATAAAATACTTGAGATATTTTATTAATACCCATTTATGAGGCATATACCTTTTCATTTAGAATAATAGACTGGTGGCGTTGGTGGAGCAGCAGCAGAATGCTCGCCAACCACGAATGTGATCCAGAGTTCGATTCCCGGCCGATTCACTCCTTCACCAATTATGAGATTAGTAGAGAGGGAAGGTTGGACGTAAATCCATCCCGTAAAAATAAACACCACTGCTACCGAAATTTTAAGCCTCTACCTTGAAGCCCTATGTTCCACTGAGAACGTAAAGAAATAAAAACAAAAATACAGTCCCAAGACACTCATAAAAAATATCAGAACGACGGTAACTTACCATAACATTGGTCTGATAACCGATATTCTTCCCCATACTTCACTCAGGGGAATTGTGTTAATGAATTAAGTCTTAAGTGAAGAAGTGATTTAATATCACCCTTCCGGCAACTAAACAAATCTCTCCTACAATGTTAGGTAAATCAAGCAATATTTAACATTTACCAAAATCACGAATTCTTCGATTTTATATATCATTACTCATATACTTATCAATTTGTATTTACTCTAATATCAAACAGGCGGGGTGTTTTTCATTGTTTGGAGGAAATACATATCAGAAAGCCAAGTGTGTTATGTATTTAAGAGGAGGATACTATATCTAGAATGATTTGGAAGCGAACTTAAGGTAGCAAGACAGTTGTTTATTCAGAGTTTGAGGGACATTTACTTGAATGAGAATGAAACAAAACATGTATGTTTAACAAAATAGTTGTCAAGAAGTTCATAAATCTGAAGGACTTCTGTGAGATAAGATTCCTAGTATTGGTTTCTGAAATTTGTGAATGGGAAAAATTATTTTTCAGAAAAATGCAGAATAGCTTTTTACTGTGTTTTTTTATTGATCAGTTTTCGGACCTAGGTAGTTAAATATATAATATCGTCATAATACCTCTTACATTATCAAAGTTTGAGTTTGCTACTTGTAAGTTAAAAGTTGCTCTGGCAATATTATCGCGAGAATGTATTACTAAATGATGTATGGGAAAACTCGGTTACTTTACTATCTGCTCTGTATTATGAATATCTGAAATGTTACAAGAACCATCTGTGTCTATACACCTAATAATTTGTTATTGTTGAGCTATAAATCTTCGTTATTATTTCAATCTGTTGACATATTCAGGTTGTATTAAAGTACATATAATCCAGCTTTAGATGCAAACTGAAGAACTGATTAGTGTACTTAGTCATCAGCTTAAATGATGTCAACTTTAATAAAAAAAGAAGAGTGTCAACTCAGTGACAGAGGATAATACTGTCCTAAAATTATTTTATTTCATATTAAACACAGTGATACAGTGTTGTGTACTGATGACGTTTCCAGCACAAATTATTGTTCATTGAAATGATTATCATCGATAAACAGTGCTGGCAACATCCTTGGTAAATAATATTGCATCATTCTGTATTTTTAATCAAATAAACGTATTCAAGGTTAGAATTACATTTAGCCATTCTTAATGAATTTCAGATCCTCTGAATCCATTTTTAGTTTCCTTTATGTCAGATTTATGTTGTAACTACATTTATTTATTCGTTTATCATTTGAATTTCAAAGGTGGCTGTTTTCATATCACAATAGATTCTTGTGTCTGCAGTTAGGTGTTAGTGGTCGACCAAAGAAAAAGTCAGGATTTCCGCTCCCCCAGCACTTATGGAAATGCATTAGTTACATTATCAGCAAGATGGGAATAAAGTCAACATCTCCACTGAATCGGAAATAAATATGTAGTCTCTACTTTAAGTTATGGACAGTTTATCTGAAGGAAATCAGGGCAGACTAAATGCTATCAGTTAAAGAGGAATAATGTGGAAAGATTAGCCAACTAGGGGGTGAAACAACAAGGATTTCACATTTATTTTACTCTTCTGTAATGACCGATGGGTTTGAAGGAAACACTCAGATTTTAACTAAATCTTAAGATACGAAGAATTTTTCATAACAAGCCATAATTTTCAAGGTGAAGAACTTTTCAAGCGAAATAACAGTAAAATATGCATCTGAAAATATGTTGTTTTTTTCATTTTTCTCTTGCATTCATTCCTTTCGTCCAATTTTACTTCAGATTTAGTTTGACAAAAGAAAAGCCACTGGACTAGAAAAAGATGAATCAGATATACACAGGCGAATATCATGATATAGATCACATAGCCATTTCTTTCTATTTGAATCACAAAAACGAATAGACGAAATAAACAAGGAAACAGACTAGAAATGAATTATAATAATATAAAAAGGGAACATTTATTCATACACATCACTTTCCTGCTGTGTACCAATTTCGATTTTCTTCTTTTACTGCATAAATGATAAAATCCCATTTTGACACTATGCTGTACATTACAAACGTTTATTTGTTTTGGAATAACCAAAATCTGCTGCTGCTGAATAAATTTAACACAATATACCAATAGTGTATTGACACTGTTACTTATGCTCTCGAAAATCCTTTACATATGCACAATTTTCTTGTTGTATCAGATTTGAATTTAGTACAGCTCGTAAAACATTCAGTGAAGTGTTGTGGAATCACAAGATGGTCACATCATTAGGGCAGTTGAACAAAACTATTGAATTATTTGTAGAAAATGACTTTCCACTGGACGTCCTATTACTTGAGGTATTTGCTAGTAATGATTTATCATAGTGAAAATTCTGTGCGTTTAAGTTAGACTGTTGGTACTTATATGCTATTACACAGTTATATGTTTGATAGTAGGGAATGCTAAAACAATTCGAAGTCGAACAGGCCTGTACAAACGTCTTGTTTATGTTAGAGAATTCTAAACTTTTATTCGATGGATTCCATAATAAGCATTCCCTCTTTGTTCTTGAATTATCAACACCTTTTAATGCATACATTTCGTAATTGCTGTTGGCAGACCTCGCATCTTCCTTATTTTTATCAGTTATTATTTGATTCGTGTATGTGGTCGTTTTGGGGATTTGCTTACATTTACGCAAACAGTTGAGGATTCTGTTTGTTACTGAGTTAGGTAACCAAAAGCTGCAAAGAACAATCTGCATTCCAATTAGTGTTGAAAACGCCAATATTCCCGACAAAAGTAAGAATCTGTATTCCAACCAACGTGGATTTTTGACACTGACTACTTCGTGGTCGATATCTGTATTTGAAGAGATATTCATCGGATACCTTGTGAGCTTATTTTTGTCCAGGGTAGTACTAACTAGAAATAAATTTCAGTTTAGAAAACGGTGATGTCTTAAGTGGCAGTTAATTATGAAATATATCAGTATAATACAAACTCTCGCATTTCTCCAGAATAATGTCTTGTTTTCCTTTCGGGCTGATATTAAAGCAGTCTTACTATACATCTTTTGACCCATTGTTTAAGGTCAGAGTGTTCATTTTCAGTTATTAGAAAAGTCTGGTGGTAAAGTAATAGTAAGTGTGATTCAAATGTATGAACCTGCTGTTCTACATAGGCAGCAGTACAAGACCAAAATTTTATCTCAGTGTGTAAGCTAACTACTACATCAAATTTCGTTTTATAGCTTTTCAGACTAACTTTCAGGTTTTTATTGGAAAAATCTGTTTCAAACACAGTATTCCCCTTTCAGAATTAATCTCATGTTTTATACAGTGATCAAAGAATTTCAAATATATATATATGTAAATTCTAATGTATACGAAAACAGATAGTTTAAACCACTAAGATTTAAGCCAGATTAATTAAAACTAATTAACCAGTCTGGCTTTTCACTATATACAGTAAACATTCATTCACAGTTGTTCAGGTCATAAATAGTAGACTTCTGTAAACATCATTTAAGACTACACTTTGACTTGAACGAAATCAGGAGTGAGTGTACATACAGACTAAACATTTCTGAGTTGAGGTTAACCTACTTTGAGTATTCCTAGTTATTGGCTAACTCACACACTTTACTTACCTTAAAAAAAAGGGTACGATTATATGTATCCAGACATAGAAATCGTTTAGTCATGAGATTTCACGTTAAACTTATCTTCTTCCGGAATCGGACTTTTCATACCCAGAAATTCTTACTTTAAAAGACTACAATTATTGTTTTCTTCTGAAAATTGACATTTTTGGTGGATGAAAGGGGAGTTGAAGCTACAGAATGAACTTGGCAGTCTGTTTTAACAACAGCCAGATTTTAACACATTTGTACAGAAACATCAGAAATATCGGTGTAACGATATGTGCCATGCACATATGTAATGCAACGGAAACCGATACAACGCCACTAAACAAGTTTCTTTTTCTTCTTTTTCAGAAAGAAACGTCGATGTGGCATCACTGGAGCAAGAGGAAGACCGGTTATCCAAACTTGTTATAAATGATGATAACTAACTTGTACCCGGGTAATTCGAGTCTGGCTTGCTTGAAATAAACGCTTCCTCCTTGCCGTCTTTGCCTTCTTCTTCACCCGTCGTGCTTGTGGTCTGTGTGCGTTATAATTGGTGTCGGAGGTGTTTTATCTACGCCGAGACATGGCAGATTACCCTCAAGATGCTCTTCCCAAGCTCTTTCCGGAGGAATGTGCCCCCACATTGCCAAGCATTCCGCCACTTCCTCGCCCACCCATGTTCCAGCCTTCCTCAGACTATCCATGCTGGAAGAAACGCATGCTGGCGTACCTCGACATCGCCCCCGCAAGCCATCATTTCATCCACGTCCTCAACAGCCTGTCCGACGACGCCTACGCTCTAGCTGACGCGGCTGGGTTCAGCAACACCAACCCCATGCGCACCAACTGGGAGATACTAGACCAATGCTTTGACTTGAGACAGAGCTCGCAGCACACCATGCTCAGATTCTACTCCCGTCGACAATTACCAGGGGAGAGTTTCCTGGACTACCTCCATGCCCTCCAGCTCCTGGCAGCTGGCCTTGACTGCCACAAGGACCTCCCCAGCCGAGACCAGGCAGTATGCACACGCTTCGTCGAGGGAATGATGCCAGGAGAACTGCGCACACACCTACGACGTCAGCTCCCAACCAGCACAGTCGAACTACAGCGAATTATCCTCCATTTCATGGACGCGGAGAACGATTACACGCCTACACCCAGCAGCTCTCGATATCCACTGCCAACAGTACCCACAGCAGCCACCATGACTCCCGTCCGCAGTGACCGTTCCAGAAGCCAACGGCGTTCAAATGAGGATGCTACGCGTGGATGTTACTACTGCCAACGTTACGGGAAGAAGGCCCGCAAGTGCGGGCACAACCGTCAGCCCGACCGCAGTAAGTCCCCTATTTTTAACCTGTCTACATACTCTCGGTCACAGCAACCTTTGATGTTATGGGGATATATTAATGGCGTACCCTCTAAAGTTCTCTTAGATACTGGTGCGTCGGTTTCGCTCGTAAAGGCGGCCTTCCTTCGACGCGTGCCCCAGCACTCACCCCCAGTAACCGCACATAATATCTTGACGACGGCTAACGGCGCTAAATTGGAAGCTCGATCTGCTACAGATCTACAGCTGCGCCTGGGAGACTTAAATGTGCATCATCGGTTCCTTATCTGTACGCAAATAACATGGGACCTCATCCTCGGAGTAGACTTCATGACGTCCCACCAAACCCTGATAGATATTCCCAATTCTCGCGTCACAATCGACTCCGTTCCTGTAGCATTGTATAGACCCCAACAACAGACCTCTTCGGAGTTAAGGGTACCAATATCTACCACCTTAAATCAAATTTCGGTTGACCCATCCGCCCCTGCGCCTCTCCGAGAGCGAATGCTAGAATTAATTGGTGTATACGCGGATGTGTTTGATGATGGGGCTAATCCAGGACGAACTGGAGTGGTCAAGCACCGTATCGATACCGGCAGCCATCCGCCGGTGCGCCAGCCATCCAGACGCATCCCGGTGCATTATCAGCCCCAACTAGAACGTTTGCTACAGGACATGTTGGATAAAAATATCATCGTACCTTCCTCGTCCCCATGGGCGTCACCTATTGTGTTAGTTAAGAAGAAAGATGGATCCCTCCGTATGTGTATCGACTACCGCAGGTTGAACGCCGTGACGAGACGTGATTCCTTCCCGATCCCTCGCATTGACTCTACTCTCGACGCACTGAGTGGCTCGAAATGGTTCTCCACGTTAGATTTAGCATCTGGGTACTGGCAAGTTGAGGTACACCCTGACGACTGCCCAAAGACTGCCTTCATCCTTCCGACTGGGTTATATGAATTTCGCACCATGCCCTTTGGTTTGTGTAATGCCCCCGCCACTTTTCAACGGCTGATGCAAGTTGTCCTAGATAAGTTAGTTCCACAACAATGTTTAATATATCTTGATGACATCGTTGTCCACGGAAAATCCCCAGAAGAACACATAGATAACCTACGTACGGTCTTTAAACGCTTACGCACGGCGGGCTTAAAGTTGAAACCGTCTAAGTGTACCTTTCTTCAGCGAGAAGTTATTTTCTTGGGTCACCGCATTTCCCCAGATGGCATCCAGACAGATCCAGCGAAAACTCGCCTCATCTCCGACTGGGCTGTACCTAAGTGTAGTAAAGACGTTCGCAGCTTCTTGGGTTTCGCGTCGTACTATCGTCGCTTCGTCCCCGCGTTTGCCACCCTAGCATCACCCCTACATCGCTTAACGGAACAGGGTCGAAAATTTTTATGGACTAGTGAGTGTCAAGATGCCTTCAACGAGTTGAAGCGACGCCTCACGTCATCACCCATCCTCGCATTTCCTGACACGTCTCCATCGGCTGGCTCCTTCATTTTAGATACTGATGCAAGTGCCACTGCCATTGGTGCCGTTCTCTCCCAAGTGGCACCCGATGGTCGCGAACGGGTTATCGCATATGCCAGCCGTAAGCTCGACAAACGTGAAACCCGGTACTCCACGACACGCCGAGAGATGCTGGCTCTTGTTCACTTTCTCAAATACTTTCGTCATTATCTGCTTGGGCGCCCATTTCGAGCACGCACTGACCATCGTGCTCTGCAGTGGCTGCAAACCTTTCGCGAACCTGAAGGCCAGGTTGCTCGCTGGCAGGAACGGTTGCAAGAGTTTGATTTTACCTGTGAGTACCGCCCTGGACCCCGCCACGCTAACGCTGACGCCCTTTCCCGTCTGCCGCCTGATGTTTCCCCGGTGAATGCTATATTAAATACAGGTCTAGATGTTGATTGGGCAGCACTGCAGGCGTCTGACGCCGATATTCAACCTGTCTACTCCCGACAGCTTCACGGGAACGATAAACCGTCGAATAAAGAACTACAGAGTCTGTCTGATGCAACCAAATGCATCTGCGGTAAGTGGGGGATACTACGCCTGATTGATAACGTTTTGTACATAGTCGAACCGCCATCATCGCCTCGCCTTCTCGTGCCACGTTTGAAAGTCCCGGAGGTAATACGTCTTGTACACCAGCAGCTGGGTCACGCTGGCCAACGAAAAACCGAGCACGCCGTCCGTCAACGCTTTTGGTGGCCACTTCTTCACCACGACGTCACTGAGTTTTGCCGCAACTGTGCTACGTGTGCGCAGATTAAACAGCCCAAAGCATCCCCCCGAGCACCGTTAGTACCGATGCTTACCGAGGCGCCTAATCATCGCGTTGGGGTAGACGTAATGGGGCCAATAACAACGTCGAGACGCGGCAATCGATACATACTTGTCATGGTTGATTACTTCACAAAGTGGTGCGAAGCCGTCCCCTTGCGACAACAAGATGCCTTGACGATTGGCCGCGCGTTCATAGACAATTGGGTGTCCCGTTTTGGTGCCCCTCTTTATCTACACTCTGACCAGGGCGCTGCATTCGAGAGTTATCTTCTTGCTCACATCTGCAATACCTTTGGCATCCGGAAGACCCATACTACGCCATACCACCCACAGGGTAATGGACTCGTCGAACGTACCAACAGAACTATTAAGAACCTCATCAGTGCCTTCTTATGCAACGCACCGGAGAATACCTGGGATGAGGTCCTACCCCAGTGTTTGCTGGCATACCGCTCTTCCATGCATTCATCGACGGGTTTTTCCCCAGCCCTGCTATTGTTCGGACAGGAACTCCGTCTTCCAGTCGAGATTCAAACTCCGCTGTTACCATACGAGAAAATCGACTGCATTCCCTATGTCCGACATCTTCGCCACCACCTAGAGGTCGCCTACAACCTGGCGCGTCGTCATCTACAGTCCTCGTCCGACCAACAGAAGACTAATTACGACCGATTTGCCCGTGGCCCCACTTACTCGCTTGGCGATTACGTCTGGCTTCATCGACCATCCGTTCCGGCCGGTTCCTGCCCCAAATTCTACGCTCCCTGGCAAGGACCCTATGAGATCGTCCGGCATCGACCCCCGACTACGTATGTCCTGCGGCATCTGCAACGGCCTCAAGCGAAGCTAGTCACAGCACATTATAATCAACTGAAACCACATCATCCAGCAGCCGTCACGGAACCGTCTCCACCCGCGCAACCGCCGCCCGCAACCAGCTACGTCGAGGTGCCGCCCGATGGAGGTGTTGCATACCCTACACCACCACCGGGCACTGAGGACAGTGCCTCCAGAGGGGAGGAGGCGATGTAATGCAATGGAAACCGATACAATGCCACTAAACAAGTTTCTTTTTCTTCTTTTTCAGAAAGAAACGTTGATGTGGCATCACTGGAGCAAGAGGAAGACCGGTTATCCAAACTTGTTATAAATGATGATAACTAACTTGTACCCGGGTAATTCGAGTCTGGCTTGCTTGAAATAAACGCTTCCTCCTCGCCGTCTTTGCCTTCTTCTTCACCCGTCGTGCTTGTGGTCTGTGTGCGTTATACATACATGATAAATAAAAAGTCTGTCAAAGTGACTTACACTTTTTACTATGACTTGTCGACTGAGATTTCTCGGCAGGTGCTATTGAAACTGGAGAAGTAACATTTGGGTTTGTAGCCATATTTTCAGCAGCCAGTTTCACACTTAAACGAAAATTGTTTTTCTGACATACAACAGACTGAGCTATTATGAAAGAGGGAAATGGCCAAAAAATTAAACTACAGTCTTTTATTGACTCAGATAATCATTTTAACTGCAGAAATATAATTTGAGAATAGCTAACACCGATTTTCTGTAACGGAACTATTGAAATCTCTTCTAGTGATATTTATGTTCTGACGGTTGTTTATTTTTTACAACAGATGACGTTCGAACATGCGATTATTGAGTTCATTTTGACACGTCAGACAGACAGACTGATTATGGCCATCTGAAACAAACATGAATTAATTACGAAGTTTTATCCATTGAACGGTATTCTGTTATTTAGCTTCTGACATCATTATTATAAGTTGTGTATATATACATATATATATGCAATGAAAAAAATTTTTCAGAGGAGCAAAATCTACTAGTTGGTCATGTTATGCTTCGGTGACTAGAAAAATTGAATTTTCATTCTTGTTTGCAAATACGGAATAAAATCTGTTCTTGTAACACTTTAGATCATCGCCTGTATACTGAAACATAAGAAACTACTTTTGCAATACAGAGTCTGGGTTTAATCCTTGTATTACTGGTAGGATTATTCGCAATAATAAGAGCGAAATAGTGAGGATTGCTTGCTTTTTCCACCTCTGCAAATAATTACCTGTCATTGTGATGTAGCAGCACACATTGATTTACACAGTCTCGTTCAATATATGGAGTGGCTTTAGCTATTTATACACGATAGATAAGACGTCTGACACTTTGATGTGAGCAAATAGTGAAGAGTGAATAACCTTTCATGAAGTCTCAGTGGAAAAATGTCTCAAAAATTACGACAGACAGATGATTCTTAGAATCATCAGCTTACCTTACCAGTTTTGTAAAAACAATTTTTGGCAGGTCCCATCTGTCCTTAAACCAAATTTTGTATATTTGTAACTGTTGGGTTTTAAAACAGTCTGTTAGAGGTGCAGCTGCTGAAACAGAAAACAGTCTTGTATCAGCTGTTTAGTGGTACCAGAATTGCAGGGATATTGCGTCCTTGGAAATGGAGAGACTTACTTATTGGAAGGAGAAGGTCCCATCGTACATGTAGATGAAACTGTCTTATTAAAGGAAAAATACAACGTGGTCCAAAACGGGCGAATAATGCTTGAGTGAGTGGTTTATTTGATGCATCTCTACGGAAAGTTCTCATCAAGAGAATAGCACTTTAATACCTCTTATCAATCGAATGGTGAAACAAGGATATATAAAACGCCCAGATGAGTGGAAGGGTTATAATTCATTGTCACCCCTTGGATATATTCACCATAAAGTCAACCATTCTAGTGATTTTGTGGATACTGTTACAAAGACCCACACCATTTCTATCAAAGGCTTTTGGAGAAGATTAAAAAACGGATTATAGCCATTATTGGATGGCAAGAGGAAGTCATTCATGGCCAGTTAGATTAATATATGTATCAGATTTGGTGTAACTTTTCTATTGATACTCCTTTTTATATTAGGAATAATTTTTATCACATGTGAGTGAAAGGTATCCTCATAATGTTAATCACCCAAGTGTCATGGCTTTCGCATAATTCACATCACATCATCAAAGTAGTATTTAAATTTTAAGGGAAAATATACAAACAAACTAAGGGAGTTGCCATGGGGTCTTCAATATCCCCGATTGTGGCAGATATATTCATGGATAGGTGGGAAAGGATAGCGATTGAAAACTTCAGCCCCACCCCAAAAGTATGGTGAAGGTATGTAGATGACAAATTCACTATACTTAGAGCACAGCATATAGATAGATTTTTCGAACACATTAAATCAAAGGTGGAGGCAATTCAATTCACTTATGAAATGGGTAGTCAGGAAGGGGGACTTCCAGTGTTAGATTATAGCTTAAAAAGGAAAGAAGATGGGAAGTTAAACACTAGTGTTTACAGGAAACCCACATATTCAAACAGATATTTGGACTTCCGATCATCCCATCCTTTGTCAGTAAAAATAGGATTGGTGACATGTTTAAGTGACAGAGCACAAAAACTAAGTAGTACCAAGGAAAATCTAAGACAGGAAGTCATACACATAAAAGAAGCCTTGAAACTTAATAATTGCCCGGATAAATTAATCAAAAATTATGTAGGAAGGTGTAGAAGTGAAATTAATAATCGTGATAGTGGTAATAATAATAATGCGAATGCTAAATGACCATATGCATGTCAAACACGAACAAGATATTGACGACACCAACAATAAGGAACCTAAATCATCAGTAGTAATTGCATACAAGGAAGGAACCTCGGAAACCTTACGCAGAATTCTTAAAAAGGCAGGAATAAAAGTGGCTGGCATTCAAACCCACAAACTCAATTAGAAACAAGCTTTGTCGGTTAAAGGATCAATCCTGTGGAGCCTTTAAAACGAAACAATTTAGTTTATCTAATACCCTGCAATGATTGTTAGACCAAATACATAGGTCATACTAGTAGAACAGGGAGAGTCAGACTAGCCGAACAAAAAAACCTAAAGAAATCTAGACTAGTTGACCTGAATAAAATAATAAATCTGGAGAATAGTTCATCTATAGCACTATATGCAATTACACACGACCATACACTAGGATAGGATAAGATGACAGTTTTAAAATCTAATGTCACAGGGTGGAGGAAGAGATTGATAACAGAAGCTTTGTTTATCGAATCAACTGCAAATACGTGTAATAAGAATGATCCAACGCCTGCCTCGGATATCTAGAAAATTCTACTCCCCTGCAACAAATAGGAAAGTGCAAAGAAAACTATAAAACTCAAGTTTCGAAGTCGTGTGACTCCCAATTGATACGATTATGAAAAGTAAATTGTGTTCGAAACGTCATTTAGTAAATAATACTGTTTCACTGTATGATATATTTAATAAAAAAGCTAATATGGAGGCAAGCAGAGTTGTTTATCAAGGATGCCTTCCGTCTTCATTTTTAAATAACTTCATCATAGATATATTAATAGTATTGACCCAACTGACTTTAGTGACTTGTTGTTCGACTTGTTATCAGGGAATTGTCTCATCAACTAAAAGTAGGAGGAAGCTGTGAAACTCTTTACTGAAAAAGCTTACAAAATGCAGATTTTTCCGAACACCTTGACCAAAAATCTTCATGTGTTTGGTATGCGACTCGTTGTGGAAGATGTGTATGGACTCCTAGTTCAAAGACAGAAAGTGAAATGGCCGAGTGTGCTGATCACTTCACTTATTTGAGAAGTCGCATTAGTCCTAATAAACTGATTGATAACGAAGTCTTGGCATGGATACAAAAGGTTTGTGTAGATTAATATCAGTAAAAAGTTTGAGCATTTTGGATTAGATCAAACAAAGTATAATTATGTAACAAGGGCGACTCAGCACAACTATCAACAACTTGGAATATAATTCTAAATACAAACACATGAATAAACGTGAAATATAATTCTGAACATACACACAAAACAGGAATGAGCAAAAAAATTATAATAATGAACTATATATATGCGTACAAATCATAAATGTGTGAATAAAACATTTCCAACAGTGGTGTGAACACGGGCAGTAATTTTGCTCGAAATATTACCAATAACAAAACTTATCATTGTGTGTAAACTATTGAAATATAATTATACTTTATTTGGTTTGTGTAGAGTTCGCCAAATCACATTATGAGCTCGCTAATCGTTTTTTGCCATAAGTGTGTGTAGCTAAATTCCAATGTTAGGTGGTGCAATATAATGAATAATTTTGGTGTTAGGGCTAGAGTGTTAGGTAAGCTGGTAAAGTCAACTGAGGAGAACGTGAAGCTTCAGTGATTCAGATGACTGGAGCACGCTTTATGCATGACAAACCGTCTTTCTCATCCAGCAATATTAACTGATATATGGTTAGTTTGGAGAACTGTTAAGAGTATTCAAATCAAAACCTGGTATCAATTCATGACACCATTGACCACTAATCTGAGTAACGTAAGGAGTTGCAGTGTTCCTTGATGAACCAAATGTAGGAGCGTGTTAATGATTTGGTTCAAATCTTTCTCAATGGTACAGATGCCTTCATTCATTGTGCACAACCAGACCTATTAAGTCCTCACTGTTATTCTGATTCTTTTTCCCTGACAATTCCGTATGTTATACTTCCTTTGAACTTTTTATTTTTTCTGTCTATATATATGTGTGATTTATAAAGTGTAGTAACTTTTTTGCAAGTCCCACAGTGAAAAATGTCACACAGCTCATATTTTCATATTTTCTGATTTAATACATTGCTGAGCAATTGCTAAATCTTGGTATTCATCGAAATCTATTTGATGTTAACTTCTTCCTAAAGATTTATCAGCAGAAGTGTTTTTAAATTCCAGTCGAAAGCGGTATTCCACAAGATGCAAACCATTTACCTGTTGTCTGATTGCTTACCCTGTAAGCTGAGCAAACTAGACTTGATATTCAGGAAGGTAATTGTTTTATCATTCTTATAACGTCTACTACACTTGCTTTTCGGTGATCTTTCTAGTCAATTGTAGTTTTTAAGTTTGAATAAAAATTTTTCTTATATATTAGCAGATTGAATTGATGAAAAAGTTCAACATCTACAAATACTAAACGTATTTGCATTTACCTTTTGGCCGTTTATTTTTCTGAGTATGCTCTGTTTAACATTAGAAATATTATCTCATCAGTAACTTCCTTCATAGATTAATTAGGTCGTATAGTGTGCATAACTATTGTTCTTTCATTTTTCCATGCGTGAATTCATGTAGTTTTTTCACAAACGATTTATATGCTTAGATTGTCCGCAGTTTTACACAAGTTGTGTTTCACTGCCACGCAATGGAAAGAATCTTTTGATGAAATACAAAATTGAGTTTTTTAGTGCATTTTATATTTTTCTGGTAACAACATGCTTTGCATCACCCAGAAATTAATCATTTAATTACCAATGCGTCAAAAGGATAAAGTCATTTTTTAATTGACAAGTGAGGTATCATGCATTTGATGCATTTAAAAGAAAGTACAAATAGTGTTTAGTTTTAGCTTTTATCATTACTTTAGGTCAGTCGTTAAGTGACTGGAGTCAGAAATTATATTTTTATGTGGTTTGACAGTAGCCGACTTACCAACGAAATGAACAGGAATGTTATGCTGAAAGCTTGGAAGTGATACGATCTCTGGGAATCTACTGACTTTGAGCACAAACTCTGAAGCCGAATCGTCACCAAAGCAGTCTAAAAGTTTGACAACTTTTATTGGCGTCGTCTCTTCGCATTCCAGCTGTACACGAGAATCAGATGTCTGTTTGTAATAGTGTAAAAAATGAAACAGAAAAGATGAAGTTTGGATTGGTATTTTATGGTGAAAACGTTATAGCACATTGTCCAAAGCGAGTAGAGCTTTAAGTTTCAGACTGTATATATAATCAGTGCAGAAAAATAAAGAAAGGGAATTGTGTCTCTTCTCTAAACAGCTTACTAAGCTATTCAAACGAAAAAGATCCCTCTTCACATTACATTTTAGAACCTATTTAGACATGAGAACATATATATTTTGAATGTTGTCCAACTTCTTTACATCTGGTTTTTATTTGTTTAGACATTTTGAAAAATAGAGTTGAAATACTTAAAAAATACAACATAACATTTAAATGGACCATGTTACTTCTGTCATTCATGTTCTGTTTCTGGATATAACCTTCATTTACAACATTTAAAAATTCAGTTTCTTCAATGCGTTTAAAGACACAGAACAGTCTACCCTACATAACAGATGAAGTAACACTTATATATTACCAAGAACTTTTGTGAAGAGGAACTTCAATCTTGGTGAACTCACAGTTTGCTGCCTTCACAGTCAAATTAATGTTTTACGGTAACTTGTTTGAACACTACATGTTTGATGAGTAGTTAACGCTGAGGATGCAGGTGCATATGAAACTTAAGTATCAAAATTCTGTGTTTCGACTCATATTTCGTAGGACTTACTGATAAACATGAGGCGATTTAGGGACAAAATTATCTAAGTACACCACTGACAACTATTTGCATGTATCGTCTAAGGTGTTTACGTTTATTTTTCTGCAGACTTACCCAGAAAAGGTTTTGGGAAAATGTTCGGTTTGTTGGACATATAAAAATAAGATTATCGCCCTCGTTGACATACATTTCATTTTGATTCCTTTGAAACCTGAATTCAATAGAAAATGTCAGAAGTTTATTAAGAATAATGGTAAACAAGCAAAGATCTAGTCTCAGATAAGTGTACATTGAATGTAGGAATATATATATATATATATATATATATATATATATATATATATATATATATATATAACATATTTGTATATTTTTCCTTCACTTCATTATTATTTCAAACACCATGAGAAAAATGTCGAATATCTCACCAATCATAATACTGTAAAAATACCTTATGCTGCCTAAATATAATCCTATTAGATACTCAGAATCAAGCTACCTTTTATTAGGCTGAGGCATAAGCTCAAATGTTCACTTCTAGACAATAATTAGTAGTGTACTGAAGAAACTTTAAACAAAAGACTTGTATAACAATATGACCAAATTAGATTTCTCTATTTACCTATTATCTCAGAATGAATGTACTGATTCCATTTATAGTGTATTTAAAAATATAAGACATAATAATTACACAGTATTAAACATTGTACTATAACATTATATTACTCATCAAAAACATTTGTTCTTGTATAAAAGTAAACTGTAAGAATGTGAGTACAGTGATTCATTTTTACCTCAGAAGTAAGCGATACACTGGTCATTACATTTTTTGGAAAAATTGCAGTCCAAGTCTTCACCGTCTGATAAAGTAGTTCGTAAGATATTAAGTAGTTGAAAAATGATTCTGCAAACAGTCAATAAAGACAGGAATTACACAATACATTTATTTGTGCGACTGAGATACATTTTTCTGGTCTCTAATGATATGTGGATACAAAGGATTTGAGCAGAAACTTACTAACGTTGCCAATCGGTTAATTTCTGTAGACTACAATCTAACCACCAATATATATATATATATATATATATATATATATATATATAATTCCATTTATATTCTATGAATTCCAAGTTGTTGTTATTATGACTATGATCAGGTTGTTTCTGCAGCTCACTGAACGTGAAATGATTACTGTTACCACTACGGTGCTCATTAGTTTGGGGTTAAATTAAATTAGGCATCATGTGGGCTCATCTTTGTTCATTATAGCAAGGGTGTATCAATTTACCGAAGTGAGAAATTTTAATCGTAAACCCCAAACATGAAATTATTATCATATATGATAAGTTTAGAATGATGGGACGTACGACTATGTAATGTGGACTTCTGATGAGGGTATTCAAATATTACGTGTTGTTATGCGACAGACAGTGATTGTGAGTCGTAAATTCATGGGAATATGTGGTGTCATCCTCAACACTTTTGGAAATTTGAAATATGTGGTTTGATACACTCATAATCATGAAATCTCAGTTATGCCTATGACTAACCTACGTTTTCGTGAATAAGCTTACATTTCAGGAAAAGATTGTATTTCTGCAAGCATTTTCAGTGATACCGATGAATTTATCGTTTCTAAGATATAAGAAACTATGAGGATATGTATATATTTCTTCTAATGTCTTGGGGCTCGAGCGTCAAGCTCGCCTAAATTTGTGCTAACTTATGTACCACTTTGAGTTTCACCAAAGTGCTTTATAATAGTTTGTAGACAGTTTTCTAAACTGGAAAATGAATGGTAAAGCATTTTAGCTCAAGGTTTATTGGTCCACATTAGTTTTGAAGAGGAAGTTTAGAACTCTCATGGTCGTTTTATTACATCATAAGTGATGATGAAAGGTATTTAATTCAATTTGAACTTTACCGTTGATCGAGTGAACAGAAGTACTCAGTCTCAGGTTGAGATGTCGGCTTCTTGTGCAGATGCTTCGATGGTGTTTCATTATTTAACTTGAAGTAAATTGGTGGTTGGTGACTAGCAGTAAAATACAGGATGTACATTTCGTCCGTTTTGGGACTCGTCACCGGATGTACCTACAATCGTCAGTAAGTGATGGTGTTTCCAATGAAACTGCAACCCAGTGCGCAAACATCCACACTAGGAGCCAACATGTGAACAGAGACCGAGAACTTTGTTCCAATCATTAGACGGGAAAGCTCGAATTGGATTAAATAATAAATAAATTACTGATACCAATACTGATTACCATTACTGATTACCAATAAATAATTACTGATACCCGTTGCACAAGAGGTGGCTGTCATGGCCTAAGCACATTTTCAACTGCATCGATATATGTCATTTCATAATTTCACTGATTAACCTGACACTTCATATTTAATATTGGTATTACAGTTTACTTGTTTCACCTGACATTTTCAATACATTCAGTGACACAATTGTCAGTCTGTAGACCAGTGACTGATATAGACTATATATATATATATTCATTTGATGCTGATTGATACTGGAGAAGTTTCTAAGACCAAATAAGGTATAATTATATTTCTAGCTTACACACAATGATAAGTTATGTTACTGGTATCAAAACAATTCCAACACTGGTGTGAACACGGGCAGTAATTTTGCTCGAAATATTACCAATAACAAAACTTATCATTGTGTGTAAACTGTTGAAATATAACTATACTTTATTTGATCTAATTCACAATGCTCAAACTTTTTATTGATTTGAAGTTCCTAAGACTACCCTTAATGAGTACCCAAACGAAAAGTATAATTGCCTCTACTGAACCTAGAGCAACAACCTATTTTCTTACACTAACTCAATTTCTAAGACTTCGAGATTGCATACCTGGCATACATCACTCGTATTTTTACTAGATCAAGTGTCTCTGTTAGCCACTGAATTCATTTGATTAGCATGAAATGATTCACATAAAGAGGTCTGCTGACTCTAATACCTCTGCGCTTTTAAATGAAGTTGCGAAATTTGATTCAATGAACTCTAGTCCAAGCGTGAGGACGTTCATTTCTCCAATACTGATAATGTAACGATCAAGTTTATCCCTGGAATATATACATTCATAGACAGAAATTAATAACATTTTGCAAAACTATGAAGGAATTCAATATTCAAAATATAAGGAATTTAATATTATCATAGTAAAATTCAGAACAATACATTTAAGTGAAAAATATTGTTTAGTGAACGAAAAATATTCGTTTCAATAATTTCTCTTCAGGTTTTTACAATTATAAAATATAATAATTGTGTTCGTTACAATAAAGGCCATTAATGCGTCGGATACACTTTTCTTTAACGTAGAGCCATAACGTAGTTATGAGGTGTCAAAATAAATAGTCATATTTGTGTGACAGACGTGCTAGGCTGAAATCGATTAGGTATATTGTAAAACGGGAGACAATTTTGGTGATTAATCATAATAGAATTGTAGAGTGTGGGGTAGGAAAATTGACAAATCAGTTCAAGGTTATAGAAGCTGTCAGGTGAGTGGCTAGTACAAAGTGGTCTGAGTTAAACAGGAGATAGCAAGACTAGGATGAGAGGTTCATAGTGAGATAACGAATATGTTAAATGAAACAGGTGGAGGCATATATTGAGAAAACAGATAATATCACTAATAATAAGTCCGTACAAATGCAAATTCGAAGCATTGAGGGAATGTTTGCATAAATGGCATAAATTATGACGAATAATAATAACTGTAATAATAATATTTATAATAATAAGCAAAGTAAAAAAGAAAGGAAAAATACCAAGATGGTTTATGGGATGGAGCACTCTTGGTGAGAAGTAAAATCTTCAATCCAAGCTTGGGCACGGTAGGAACAGCGTCTGGACGTGTTCTTTTTGGATACAAAGTTCCGGTTTATTCGATCTCATTGCAACAGCTTCAGCTATGTGTAGGAGACGTAAGCGAGTTGTACTTGGTAACGACTTCGGAATTCGGTATATAACCCTGAAAGCTGTATTGACATCGATACGATGTCCAGTATCGACCAGGTGTGACAGGATCGAGCTTTTTGTGCACTTAATTACCCCCCTGCTGAACCAAGCTGGTAAGTGTTCTCAAACCCGTAGACGAACCTGCCTAATCGTGCTCCCTATATAACTTGAACCACAGGAACAGTTGAAATGGTATATTGCATGGAGGATTTAATCATGAGCTGACATCAGTTAGAGAACCACTGGAAAACCTGGGAGTACTAGACAGCTGTTTCGTCCTAGTTTGGGACTCTTCAGTAGTACGCACCCACCGGGATTCGAAGCCAGGACCTTCTGGTTACAAGGCGAGCTCGTAGACAATTGAGCCACTGGGACCCGATCCAGGGGTCCTTGAATTCTAACTTCTGCCAATTCACGACATAGCGCGACCACTTCGCAATGTCTTCTTCGATGAGTTACTGCCTCATTTTCGACCTGCTGTACCCTACTGGTCACGGCTTCCCACTAGATGGTGAGGCAGTAACTCATCGAAGAAGACATTGCGAAGTGGTCGCGCTATGTCGTGAACTGGCAGAAGTTAGAATTCAAGGACCACTGGATCGGGTCCCAGTGGCTCAATTGTCTACGAGCTCGCCTTGTAACCAGAAGGTCCTGGCTTCGAATCCCGGTGGGTGCGTACTACTGAAGAGTCCCAAACTAGGACGAAACAGCTGTCTAGTACTCCCAGGTTTTCCAGTGGTTCTCTAACTGATGTCAGCTCATGATTAAATCCTCCATGCAATCAAACAAAATCCCTACAAAACCAATACTTGAAATGGTATATGCATGAAGAAGAGCTAAGGTCAGGTAAGACGTCTTTGTGTTGCTGGGTGAACATTGGACGGCTAGTGAAGGATAGACACAGACGTGCAGAGAAGAAAAGTTTTCTTGATCGCCCTGGTTAAACGTTGGGATAGAATCTCCGAATGAGTACCTCCCTTGAATTGGAGATGTAAAAAACAAAGGTTTTTTCTCCACAGTTGTCAGTTCATGTTTACGACTATTATAAACTATGTTGGCTTTAATGAACTTCTCTGGATATCCGTTCTCGCTTAGAATGTCTCGGATGATCTGGAGTTCTTTCTCTACGCACTCTCCAGAACGAATAGACCTCGCTATAAATGCTAAGCACCTGATTAGATTACGTTTGTATTTCATCGGTACGAAGCTAAGGAAATG